GCTCACGTCCTCCAGGCTCAAGAATGATGCATCCCAACGAGAAGGAAATTCAGCCACGGGGGCATTGCTGTTTATACCACTTTGGTTTTCTAGGATGTGCGTAGGAGCTGGAACTGCACATGGTGTTGCCTGTGTACAGACACAGCAAAATCTGTGCTTCCCAGTGGGCTTGTAGTGCTTGAGCTCAGCAAAACTACTGCATTCTGACTGTTTTTCCTTCCACGAGAGGACAGCTACTTCCAGTTACATAACCGCTTGGATTTGTGGTGACTAAGCATACAACACCCATAAATAGGTCATTCTTCTGAGCTTTGATCTGCCAGTTTGGGCTGCAAGTTCCTTCAGCCTCAAACTTGGCAGTGGTGCAGCTGAGTGTGACACCATGGCCTGAGTGCTTCCCCAAGCACTGATGTGCATCTTCAAGGAGTGCTGAGAAGGGTGTGATGGTGTCTTATTTTATGGGTTGATCTATGTTAAACAGACCTTGAGGATCATCAAGTCCAACTCCTATCCCTGCACAGGACATCCCTGACAATCACACCCTGTGGCTGAGAGCATTGGCCAAACACCTCTGGAGCTCTGTCAGCCTTGGGGCTGTGACCACTGCCCTTCAACACAGAGCTACTAAATGACTTGGCCATAGTTATCCAGAAAGTCTGAGGCAGAGTTTTGAATTGTCTGGAGCCTAAAACTCTTAAATTTCTACTTTCCAATGTCCTGTCAGTGTGACTGCCTTCAATTTTTTCTTCTGTTGCTCTCCTGTTTCAGTACAAATTGTTAACTTGGGTTTACATACACAAGAAATCCATGTGACTATATTTGAGGGACATGTTGTGTTTGCTGCCTAAAGCTCTGGCAGTATTTGTATGTTGTTTACTTGCTGAGGCTGTGTTGAAACTGTTCTATAGGACTTGGGTTGGAATGGACCTCAGAGATAATTCAGCCCCAACCCCTGCCCTGGGCAGGGACACCTCCCACCACACCAGGTTGCTCAAGGCTCTATCCAACCTGGCTGTGAACACTGCCAGGGTTGGGGCAGCCACAGCCTCCCTGGGCAACCTGTGCCACTGTCTCACCACCCTCACAGGGCAAAACCTCTGCCTAAGATCTAACCTAAATTTCCCTCCTTCAATTTGTCCCCATTGCCCCTTGTGCTGTCCCTGCAGCTCCTAACACAGAGTCCCTCTGCAGCTTCCCTGGAGCCCCTTCAGCTCCTGGAAGTTGCTCTGAGGTCTCCATACAACCTTCTCTTCTGAATGCCCCAATTTCCTTGCCATGCTTCATGCAGGCATTTCTTCAGTGCCGATGCTTCCATTTGCTCTAGCCCTTTCCTATGACAGCACATGGTGCTGCATGGTGAGTGCTGAGGAGTGGGTTGGGCTGGTTTGGGGGAAAGTTACTTGACATCGATCAGTTTTCATTCAGACTCCCTATCACTTCTCCTGAGGCATCACCCTGTGACAGAATGGCACCAGATTTGGTTGTCCAGCCCTGTGAGCAGACAAAAGAGGACACCCTGCCCCAGCAGCCAGTTTGATAAGCAGTAACTGTGTTTCTGTCTCCTTGGTCTGTCAGTTGAGCCATAGCTGGACCTCTCCATTATTCTGCTCAGTCTGGTGCCAGACTGTTTGCCCTTAAGTGGCCCTGGTTGGTGCCGTTCAGCATTGACACACTCTGGTGATTTCAGTCTTTGCAGTGACCTTGTTGTCCTACATCCAGTCACCTTATTCTCCCCAGCTGTGCCAAGAGCCATGTCTGTCCCTAGTTGAGTGTGGCACAGCCTCACTGAGCAACTGAAAAACACTTCAGTACCTCACTCTGTATGTCTCTGGGGTACAGAACTGCCCCTTCTTGGCATCCTCTCTGGCTCTCATGTCCATCTCCTCGAGGCCTTGTACCGTTGCCGCTGGTTGTCCTTGCTCAATGTGAGCACATCACCCTGGTGCTCCTTAGGGAGCTGCTTGAGCTGCTTTCCCAGCAGGGCACAGACACTCCGTGGGACGTTGCACTGGGGGTGGGAAGGCAGCAGTTCCACTGCCATTGTCCTAGAGAAGGTTGGGAACAGCATCAGGAAGACTTTGCCCCACGCTGGTCGGGCAGTGTGCCTGTTGGCCTTGATGGCAGTGTAGGATTCCTTCTTCATTTCAAAGGCTTTTAACAGTGACTGCAACTCAGAGGGGTTTTTAATCCTTTTGGCTGTTGTAATGTTCATCATCCTTTTGCTTTGGGATGTCCTTTGATCAGCTGAGACTCTGCACAACAACTGCCTGAGCCTTGTACCTTTCCCTCCTCATTCAGGTGAATTTCCCCTAGTTCTGCTGCTTTGAAGGTATTCCCTGGATTTGTTTTCCAGCATCTCTGTGCAGAGCACAAAGCTCTGCCTTTTGTTGTTGCCTGCGAGGTTGTCTGCACATATCTGAGACTTTACCTTTTTTAAGCCACAAACAAAAGACCAGGGTTGGTTTTTTTGGGTGTGTTTTCCCTTGGCTGAGTGTTATAATTGGCCTGGTTGGAGGAGATGTTGCTTCCCTGTGCAGCTCAGAAGTGACTAGAAGGTTGTGGGGCTGCAGAACAGTGGCAGATGGTGCCACACAGCTAATAAGCAGGAGCTTGTGCTCAGCTGTCAGTCAGAAAGCCCCAAAGCTTTGGAGCAGAGGATTTCCATCCTGCCTCCTGCCAGGAGTCCGAGCCCTCGGAGTGGAAATCCTGTGAGATAGTGTCTTCAAAGCAGCAGAATTAGAGGTAATTTCTGCCAAGCACTGTATTTAAAATAAAAACAAGACCAAAGCAGAGCACCTAAAAGGGCATTCCCTTCTCCAGATAGGGCATTACTCTTGTGAAATGTGGCATTAGCTGCTGCTCACGGAGAAACACAGCCAGAATCCTAATTCGGAGGGGGAGGGGGCCGAAGAGTGGCTGGGAGAAGGAGCTGCTGGCAGGCTCAGCAGTGTGTGCTGTGCTCCTGGTGACTAATGAGTCTGTGCCCTCTCGGTGCAGCAAACACGCACAGCAGCCTCCCAGCCCAGCAATTACTGCTGGAAAAACCGGGAGGGGATGGAAGTGAAGTGCCATCCTTTGCTGCTCCACCTAACACAAAGCAAAGGCGAGCTGTGCTAATGAGCTGGAAGGAGTCTATTTGCATTAGGTCGTTTTTTACTACTCCCTATTTAAGATTTTCTCAGCTTTAAGAAAGCTGAACATGAGCAGTGTGCTCAGGTGGCCAAGAAGGCCAATGGCATCCTGGCCTGGATCAGGTACAGCGTGGTCAGCAGGACCAGGGAGGTGATTCTGCCCCTGCACTCGGCGCTGGTGAGGCCACACCTTGAATCCTGTGCTCAGTTCTGGGCCCCTCAGGTCAGGAGGGACATTGAGATGCTGGAGCAGGTCCAGAGAAGAGCAACGAGGCTGGTGAAGGGACTGGAGCACAAGTGCCATGAGGAGAGGCTGAGGGAGCTGGGGGTGTTCAGCCTGGAGAAGAGGAGGCTCAGGGGAGACCTTCTCACCCTCTACAACTCCCTGACAGGAGGTTGGCGTTAGGTGGGGGTTGATCTTTTCTCCCAGGCAACCAGCAGCAGGACAAGAGGGCACAGACTCAAGCTCTGCCAGGGGAGGGTTAGGTTGGATATTAGGAAGAGATTTTTTCTGGAGAGAGTGCTCAGGCATTGGAATGTGCTGCCCAGGGAGGTGGTAGATTCACTATCCCTGGAGGTTTTCAAGCTGAGACTGGATGTGGCACTTAGTGCTATGGTCTAGTAACCAGGGTAGGGTTGGACTTGATGATCTTGGAGGTCTTTTCCAACCCAGCTGATTCTATGATTTATCTGGAAGTGCTTTGGTTTTGTGTAGACTTCTCCCCATTAGTTTGTAAGATTAAAATGCCTTTAGAAAATATGGATGCTACTCCCTCTAAAACACCTGTGCTGCTCTGCTCATTCACCTTGGAGACACCCAGCCCAGGTGACTTGAGGTGAGAGCTGTTGTCCAGGCAATGTTGTGCTTTATACTCTGCTTGTGTTCTTGGCCTGCTCAGAGCACACAGAGTTGTGTGCACAGTGCAGAACCTGAGCAGCTCCACAGCCTGGAGGTGCTCAGGATCACCACTTGGCCACTACTGATTCTCCCACCTCTTCCATTCTCCTAAGAGAAGAAAATAAACTTCTCCTGGGTCTTTTTTTCAGAGCCAAGCAAGAGGAAAAGCTGAGGGTAGGTACACAGCCACCAGAGAGATGGGAGAAGGGTGGCAGACTTGGGGCCACATTTTCTTTGTGTGCCTTAGGCTTCCTGCTTGGGCTTGTTGAGAGTGGAGAACAAAGGAACTAAATGTAGTGAAACCATTTGTATGTTATTCATGGTGAAAGCTCCACAAAGAGATCAGTTTGAGCAAGGTCCTTCATAGAGTTAAGACAGACACTTAACATCTGATGGCCTGGCAGAGCCTGACGCTGATGACAAACCCAGGGGTGCTGAGGGCACTGCTGACTGGCAGAGAACCTAAATCTCTTTTGCTTAGAGTTACTGCAAAGCCTGAGGAAAAGGCTGTTCTCACTGAAACACCTTTGTGGTGGGTGTGGTAGGAGGTGTGAGATTGGAGTTCTGTTCTGCATTTGCTGGTTGTAAAACACCTTGGGTTGAGATTCCCAGACTGAAGGTCAGAGGCTTTGGAGAGTTGCACTTGTGCAGGAACCTGCTCCAGTTTGGGGCCATGGCTCATCGTGGCACGTGAATCACAAACTCCTCTGTGCAGGTTGAGTGGGGAGAGTGTGTACCCTGTGTGATGTTACTTGGAAAGGTGATTCAAAAAGTGTTTTTAAATGTGTTGATGCTACAGTTTGCTGTTTTTTAAGAGTGGTGTGTTTCAGCAGGTGCTGCTGCTGCCTGCGATTAGTCCCTCACACGTTAACTGCTGTGTGTGGCAGAGGTTACCCCTTGCAGCTGCACTGGTGTCACTGTAGATGGAAGCAAAAAGCACATGACTCTGTTTCTGCTTTGTCTTTTCCCAGTACTGGTGTGCAGTCACGAAGGAAGCAGCAGGAGATGTGGTGGCCAGGGAGACCTCCTCTCTGGCTCTCTGGGAGTCTTGGCACACTGGGCATTTGTTGCTGGAGCTGAGAAAACAAATGGGTATGAATATTAATAACTTAATTGCTGTGGGTCTGTGTTCTCCTGTGGCAGCTGTTGTGGATCTGCTGTGTACGCATGTCCACATGAAGTCAGAGTTGGTGGTACAAAGGTGTCCATGTATTTCTAACAGTCTCCCCTGCCATGGCTGCAGGGAGAGGACTGGAGGGAATGGTCCTAATCTGAGCCAGGGCAGAGTCAGATTTTGGGAGAAATGTTTTCCCTGTGAGGGTGTTCAGGCTCTGGGATATTGCCCAGGGAGGTGGTGGAGTCACCATCCCTGGAAGTGTTTCAGAGGTGTCTGGATCTGACACTGGAGGATCTGGTTTAGGGTTTCCAGCAGTGACAGGTTAATGGTTGGACTTGGATAATCTTAGAGCTCTCCTCTAACCTTGCTGACTGTAGGATTCTAAGAGAGTGAGTCTGGATTGATTCCCAAGGGCATTTGTGTATAAGGAATGTGTTTTCAAAACAACTGAATGTAGGCAGAAAGTATGAGGAAGAAATCAGTGCTAGTCACTGGCAGCAGCATCTCTTTGATTCAGAAAACACAATCTCAGAATCAGTGAGGTTGGAGGGACCTCGTCTAACCTCCTGCTCCAGCAGGGCCACCCTAGAGCACATGGCTCAGGGTTGTGTCCAGATGGGTCTGGAATATCTCCAGTGAGGGAGAATCCACAGTCTCTCTGGGCAATCTGTTGCAGTGTGCACAGTTAGATGTCCACGGGAGTTAACCACTCTGTGCTTGTGTTACCACAATGACAGTGCACTAGGTAGGTGCCCTGGAAGGAATGAGCGACCAGTTAAACCAAACTTGACAATTCTGCACTCTAACATAGCTGGAATGAAAGAGGAAACTCAGATTGTGATTGAAGTTGCAGCTGCCACTAAAGGAGGAATTCTGTTTTCAGAGGATGACTTGGTTTTTGCAGCACCCCAGAGCAGTGTTTGTGTTGGAGATGAGCACACACAGTATGTGTTCTTCAGGCTCACCTGACCTGAGCTCCTGTGGCTTTCCCAAACAGCTGCCTTGGAAACCCCTTTATTTTATAGGAAAACTGCAACTGGCCTCAGCAATCCATTGTGTCTGTGGTGGTGTGAAGGGGACCCTTTGCAGACACTGCTGTACCAACCCTGTTCCCCTCATGTGCTGGAGGAGAGGAGGAGTTGTTTGGTTCAGGGAGACTTGCAGCCTGCACGGGGGCACTCCAGCCAGTCCTTGCAGGCCTTGCCTGGCTGCGTGCACAGTGGGACTTGGCAACATTCAGGGTGCTGATGGCAGAGTAGGCAGGATTTTTCAGCTAAGCCGAGAGGATCTTTGGAGGATGGTGCACATCAAACTGGTTATAGATGACCTTAGACAGAAGGGGTTTAGCTGTCATGAGCCCAGGAGCCTGTGTACAGCTCCTGTTCCATCCGGGAGTGATTCTCAAGTGGCTCAAATACTCAGTCCTGCACCTTGATGAGTGTATGAAGTTGGTGGTTAGATAACACCTCCCTGTAAACTCAGATCCTGCTTTGCCTGTGTTGTACATGGGGATCCTCCACAGCCTCCCAGTGGGCACAGTCAGGAGGTCCTTAGTGCCCTACAGGCAGCAGTGTCCCAGCTGTGGCTGCGCTTGGAGAGGCTTTTCATCAGCCACGACCCTGCTGAGTTACTCTGCAGGTGTTTGCTGTTGTGAGGTAGCAGAAGTGACTCCTCTGGCCCAGCCTGTGCCAAGGGGCTCTGGGGGTGGCAGGACTGTGCTGGTTTCTCCAGACAAGGCTCTGGAGAGCGCTGGGTGCACTGCTTAGACAGTCCCTGAGCACATAGGACGCTGACCACAGCGTGGCTTAGCTCCTGCTGTGGTCTACAGCTGTCACTGTGCCCCTTCTGGGCTAAGCTAATAAAGGCCCTGGGCAGTCACTGTCCCTGGTAAAAATCATCCTTGTCTGCATCCCCAGGTCCTTCCCCCACCCCTTGCAGGCCAGAACGGGATGGAGCTCCCAGCAGTGCAGAGCACAGAGGGTTGAAGAGCTGCCAGGGAAGACTTTGCTCTTCCTCTGAAGGAAAGGATGAAGCTTCTGTCAGTAAAACCAGAGGTGGAACAGCTGCTTCCCCACATTATGAGCCTGTTCTCCTTTTGCATCCTGTGGCCCTGGTGGTGTTTCTTTCAGCCACATGCTGTGGCACAGGGAGGGAGTGAGTAAAACCAATTCTGAGTTGCTCTGCAGTGCAAGAGGGTGAGAAACAGGAGTTTGCTGGTCTTCCCAGCAATACTGACAGACATTTGTGGGCACAAAGACGATTTCCACCACCTTGGGAATTGCACCAGAGTGTTTGGATCACCCTTACAATGCTGGTTTTGCTTTTCTCCTTGCAGTCAAAATCCCTTCCTGGTGGCTGCGTTTGGGGCTTGCTCTCTCACCAGGCAGTCCAACCACCAAGCCTTCCAGAAGTTTGGGCGTTCCATGACTGCCTCTGACATGGTTTCAGAAGTTGGAACAGCTTTTAACAAACTCTTTGAAACCTGAAGCCAAAGCAGCAGAGAAGAGGAGGAGGACGAGCAATGACTGCAAGAGTAATTCCATGTACCGTAGAGTTGACATAAGTAATGCACCCTCTCAAGTGCTGTAGCAGCATTGGTATGTTAGGTAGATATTTTTTATTTTTCAGAATAGAAAATATGATTAATGTAGATATTTTTTAAGAGTTTGGAATACAGAAATGTTTTGGCTGAAATAAGCTGTAGTTGCAGATCGGTTATAATATAATAAAACTAAACTGAAAGTATTCCTCTGTTCTTTTTGATAGTCATTGAGCAATAACTGAAGTGTGAACAGGAGAAAAAAAAAGATGCACTTGGTCTTTAGCTAAAATTCTTCCACCAGCTCAACCGAATTTCTTGGGTTGCACCAAGGTTGTCACGTTGTCATTCTTAGACCCTTTCTAGACTTAGCTATTGCACTTCGGTTTTTTGCCCTGCTAGTGTCTGGGGAAGCAAGAGGCCTCTTTGGAAAGGGAATGCATGAGAGTTGCTGTAAGTTTTGAACGTAATTAGTTGCCTTTTCCCATTCCCAGAGGCAGCACTCGTTTGGCCAGGACACCCTTCCTGCAGTGTCCTGCTGTGTCCCTCTGGTAGCAGGACTCCCTGGCAGCATAAGGATATACTGTAGGTAGCTTAGCATTTAGCAGCAATTACACTTACCTGAGAAACAGATTCTGTATCCAGAACTCGATCAGATGAACTTGTGAAATGATCCTTGGAGAGGTACGAGGTGGGGCGAGAACTCAGCGATAACCAACAGGAACTGGTCAGACTCCCAGTGCTCATGGAAGAGTAAAGTGCTTTTAAAGCTCCAGGGTGAGAGCTCAGAGAGGCCCAGGACACAGCTCTGCAGGGAGCAGTGACTGACCAGCAGGAACCAAAGGCAGCACACAGCACCTGCCTGTCCCTCGCAGGAGCAGAGGAATTCTGAGTGGTGGTTGAGCTCTGGGGATATACCTGGTACTCCCCCTTTTCTTAAAGCAAAAGCTTAGAGGGTTTCTGGTCGATCTTTGGGGACAGACAGGACTTACACTGTCAGGGCCACGTGGCAGATGAGGGTGTTGGGTTTAAAGGAGAACTCACATCGGGGTTTTGCACAGGATCATTGCCTAAAGTTCTGGAGCTTCAAGCCTGCAGGGATGGAACCAGCGTGGAGAGCAGGGGAAGTTCATGCACAAAACAGGGAAGTGAGCACTGCTCCTCCCATCCAGCTCCAGGTGTTCATGCTCAGCAAAGCACAGAACAAGAGTCTAACTTGTCCAGCTGCTGCAGCAGTTGTTCCCTGGGTCTCTGCAGCCACTCTGTGCAGTGCTCTAGCTCTGGGTTGGAACGTGGTGTCTCTCAGCCCACTCAGACTGTTCTTGCACCTTGCACTTGCTGCCTGGGGCCAGTCAGGCTGCTCCAAGCATTTCCTTCAGCCCTTAGATTTGCCATTTCTGGATGCACTGTGACTACTACCTCACCCCAATGCGTTTTTGGGTTTGCTTTCTAAGTCAGTTACCTATTTTTGAAACAGGTGTTATGTGTTTGCTCATGTTGCTCTCTGGGGGTTCACAGACTACTCTTAAGAGATGATGTTTTAGCATTTCATTTGAGCAGTTCTTGTAAACTGTCTACACCTCTGGGGAAACTTAAGCTACTGTTATTTTTCCCCCCAGTAAAGCTATTTAAGAAGCCTGATTACTTTTACATGAAACGAGAAGGTTAAACCTGATTTTTAAAACAGCTGCTTTGAGTGAGCAAGTTCTTTTTGTGCTGAGAACATCAGTGGTGTTAGAACCTAAATGGCATTTGCAGGCAAAGTCAATGAACAGAGCTCAGCACAGATTTCAACCTGCCATGTCGGTTTTACTCTGCACAGGAGTTGTAACTCTGTTATTCACCAATGTACACAAATTGTTACAGTTTTTTAAACATCCTGGAAATGTAGCAGTTTCTTTGGTAGGAAATAAAAGGACTAGCAAATGAACTGTGTGGACTTCTGTGTGTGCTCATCACGTTCCCTGCTCACCTTCACTGGAGGTTGCTGGAGCAGCACAGGGTGAGCAGATTTACCATCCCAGATGTGTCCAACAAGCAGCTGCCCCAGAGGTGCTGCAGAGACACCTCCACCTCCTGCTGCTACTAGTTAAAGAACCAACAATTCTGCTCAGATTATTCTCTGTCCTTGTGAGCCATTCTGTCCCACAGACTGTATTTGGAAACAATCAGCAGTTGCCAAAGCAGCTGAAATAAAAAACCCCACAGTTCGAGGATGAAGGATCAGCTTTTTTTCTCAGGCTGCTGCTCTGTCTGTCCTTCCACCATTTCCCAGGTCGAAACAGTAGCTCTGTCCTGTAAGAAAGGGAAGAGCTGAGTCCCAGCAGGGAGGACCCTGCAGGGGCCATACCTGTGTGGGTACATGGAGGTGCAGGTTTTAACCACGACTCACACAGCAAATTATTCTGCAGGAGAGGT